ACTTGTTGTGGCTCATTCTCACTGCTCTCAGAGGTGTTTCTGGCTGCAGCAGGCAACTATTTGCTCTGAAAAGCCACTGCATACATACTACTCACCACTACATACATACTACTCAGCACCAAACAGCAGACAGACACAGTTAGAGACTAGCTGGTACACTTAGTGGAGCAGCTAGTGTATTAACACTGGTAGAGACCAAAAACTCTAATACCAACTAAGAGCTAATGTTGCTCTGTAACTGCTGGATATTTAAATAAGTAATTGTTTGCTTACTTGACTGCCATATCGACTTAAACTGTTCATTACTTGTTTTCACTGCCCCCAAGTGACCAAAAAATGTTATTGCAGGTGTAAGGCATGTAGTCATGGCAGTTTTTGAACTTTGCAATTTAGACCTTTGTTAATCTGCGACTAGCATTGCAAATATCAGCTTAGAAGAATATTAACAAGTTATGTTTGGCATGCACACTACTTTCTGCACAACAATTCCACAATGCAATGCATGGTATTTTAGAGATGCGAATACTACAGTTGTGCTACACCTGTAAGAGAGGATATAAAATAATGATGATTTCCAAGTGTCCAAAGTCTAAATTTTCTGCTGAATAAACAAAAATTCAATAGGGAGTAGTGAATGAGTGAATAAAGAAAATAAAGATTTTATGATTTTGAACACAGCCTTGCTGTAGTGCAGTGGCAGCCAAATATGTGCCATGGAGATTCAACAGTCAGCATTTACATTGGATCACCTTAGTGGAGACTTTATTGATATTGACTATTTCCCTCTCCTTGAAGTAGTTCTGAGTCTGTTTAGAATGAAAACTTATAAACTAATAAACTAAACTATTTCCCCACCGCTCACCCCTGCTGTAGTTATAAAGCAGTTAATTTTTTGAGCTTTTAATGCATTTCATTATTTTAAAACATATTTTAGCAGGCTTTGACAGATGGTAGTGATTGGATTGTTAGTGAATAAAGCTGCCTGATCCTATTCAATCCTGCTTCCTATCTCAGTCCTATACTGCAGTTTTAATATGGCATAGCCTGATGTATTGCATAGCACTCGTATGCATCATTCAGTGGCCTCTGTTATTGCATGTGTATTGATAATTTGCTGCTGATAATGCTGTTTTTGCTGCTCCATCCAGCACCTGTCTAGATTTATAGCCACCATGGAACATGTCATGAGTTAAAGTAACACAATTCAAATAAATTGAGATTAACTGCAAATCTTTGATTAAACAAATCAAGCTTAATTGCATCAGTGTTCTCATTTTCAGACAATCAGTTTGGTCATTTTGACACCTGCTTCTTCCCTTGGTGAGACATTCTGGACAATGCAAACGCTTTATATAATAGACTGATTAGCTTTTACCTTTCACCACCATTTTAGACCCAGTTTACTAGGAGCTGGCTCTGTGTTTTAGTTTAATTGTGATCAAGGTCTGAAGTCTGACAAACTGAGCAAGAAGCAATTATAGGAACAAAATCTCACTGCAGCAATGTGGTGCTCTTCCCTTTTCACAGCCTGAAGTCTTTGAGGAAGATTTATCACCGGCGGCCTTTGTGAGGATCTCCCAACACGGAATGGAAATTACCAAAAATGTCAGGCTGTTTTTTGAAACCCAGGGTTCATTTAGGACCTACAAGGCATGTTCACTGCAATAATAATTGTGTGGCTGAATTAAAGTTATTTATGTCACCTCAAAAAGCCTAATGGTCACGATTCATTTTTATCCAAGACTCTCACAAAAACACGAAAAACTTAACACCTAAATGCAATTTTCTACTAAAAAATAGATTTCTGTGTCTGAAAGAGTTTGTTCTAATTATAATGGACATGTCTTGCTTGAAATGTGGCCTTGTTAGTGGCTTTCAAATGTGTTTCTAGAACATCTAAGTGAGCGTTATCTTTGTTGAAAACTTCCGCAGACAGACTGCAACCTAAAGCAGAAATCCTGGATCTCCCTGAATGCCCAAAACTCGTACTTTTATGACCTATACTTCTGCATGAAATATGAATTGAGTGGTGTTGCCACTTTGTTTTTTGAAGTTGCCAGCTATGTAAATGCTCTTGAATGCCTACTGGAGGACCATGCATGATTAAGAGGACCATGGTTAAGATCTGCATTATGATAACGGTAAGGGATATGCAGTGAGCAATGCTTTTCATGTGTAGTCTTGCCCAAAGCTTGCATTCAACTTGCACTGGCAATCATATTTTCGCTGCAATGTTAATTAATTGCTGCATAGAAGGTTTATGGTCCATGTCCGTAGTATCAGTCATTTCCATGCTTCCCATTAATTGTCTAAGTAAGCAGCCATGCAATGCATTTTGGTAGCGCTGCGGTGCATTTCAAGAGATGGGGCGTCAACGTATTGTCTTACTAATTACCTTGAAGCATAATTAGCATTCCATTTGCATTTTATCTCCATTCTGATTTGTTCTCAACTGTAAACAGTTTCACCATTATACATTTGTGAGACCTCACTTTTTTTTAAATAAATCAAGTTGTTTTGATTTGAATTGAACTGAATTCACAGCCACAAAGTGAAATGTTCTGGCAAAGCCTGGGAGAAAAATTGACTGTTTTTTTACAACAGTCTCCAGTGCATTTACTTGATGCAGGCTAATTGCTGAGAAATGTGGTCAGATTCTTCCTGTGCCATGCATCCCTGGACAGATCACTTCTCCGCCTTATCTTTCTCTGCAAATCTCCCTTTATTATCTTGCTTTTGTTTTACTCCACCCCTTCCTCGATTTATCTTGTTTTTATCCCATTCTTCCTTCCTTCCCAAAGTCGTATCCAAATATCCCACCTCCATTCATTTATTCATCCTCATCCAGCCCTCCTGCTGTTTTTTGCTTCACTCGCCCTTTTCTGACACCAGCCTTTCCTCCTACCCTCTAACCATACGTATGTCAATTTATGATTGCAGTGTTCCTCACAGTGGGGCCCAGTACTAAGTGAAAGTAACAGGAAACACTGGGGCTCTTTAGAAGCTTAAAGCTCTTTAGTGAAGGTCATTTATCGGCCTGTCATACCATCGCTCTGATGCAGCACGAACACAATCACTCGCCACAGAGACCACATTTAGACACACGAGAGATTCACCTGGAAATTTCACAAAGTATTGCAAGTACAGAGTCGGTGTGCTGGTAAGGGAGTATGTGCAAGTGTGTGTGTTTGTAAGTATGTGTGTTTGTGATTGTGTGTGTGTGTGTGTGTGTGTGTGTGTGTGTTCTTCAACAACAGCTCTCTGAGTGCATTCAGATCATCCAGTGACATTGAACAGAGGCCACGAAGCTAAATGGCTCCTTCAACAGTAAGTGGTTTAGTGAGAGACGCACATCAGAGCTTTGTGGGAGCTACCAAGGTTACAGCTGTAGTTTACACATACACACATATGCAAACCTATGGGGACCCACACTTTAAAGTTGGCATTAATGTGAATTGCAGAAGATAAGAAATATTAAATTATAGCCTTGGTATTATATAGCTCTATCTATAATACACCACCACTCACTTCATAAGCAAGCTATCAGTACAATTTTGAATAACCTCTAGTTTTGGACTGATAAACTCAACAACGTAGTGTTTTTAGTCATTTTATTTTGAAAAGTGGGACTCTTATTTTGCAGTTGACAATGCAGCTGGAGGCTAGAGAAGAAAAGACAAGAAAGCGTCAAAGTGACAAATACTGTATTGGATATTATTTATTGCGTGGCTGAAAAGGGAACAAGGTCTGTGAACGTATCATTTCTTATTGTAACTGAATAACTTTTCTTTGCATAGGTTCATTAGGTTTGAAAAATATAGCTTTGTAAGATAGCAAAACTGCTATATTAACGTTAGCTACATAAGCAGGTGTTTTATCTCATTAGTGATTAGCATTCCGTGCTAACTGGCTCTAAGTAGTAAGTCGGAAGAAATGCATAGTAGAATGATGTAAACAATGCCTTTGCATGCTTAAACTAATAACCAAAACATTAGCATAATATTTGTTCTCTCTCAAAATATACATGTTAAGTTTTTTTGAGCTTATTCTCATAAAATGAGTGTGGACATTTTGACATGTCTAGCAGGAAAAGCACAGGTGTTGCTGCTAACTTTAATTAATGATGGTTTATTACATTGAGATATCCCAGTTAGCTGACCCTGGTAAGCCTAATTGGAGAGCTGGCAGAATTAATAATATTGATTACACCTCTGATTTCCAGGTCAAAATGTTTGTTTTGCTCGAAATGCTGCTTTTTTTTGTAGGAATGCTTAAATCACAGCTTCCTCACTACCCTGTTTTATTCTCATAAGTTCAATGGGCCTGCCCCAGCACTTTGGATATAAATGGTCTTCCTCATCAAATTGGAACAGTTGAATTTATGGCGCGTAAACATTTTTTTAACTAATTAAACTAATTTTGTTAACTGAGCTACAATACACTGCATATTATTCAGTGTTAAAGCTTACATATACACAGTTTATAGGGCACATGGATGTCATGATCTACATATGTTAATACATGGATCAGAATGGCATGTACAGTGCCAACAGAAAGACATATTTTAGACAGCAGCCTTCAGTGCACACGCCACATATCTACATTTATCAACATTTGGATGCAGCGAAGGTACACAAATTAGATAAATCTGTCTTCTGCAAGGACTGGGGAAGTGTGTTTGTTACAGGGACATATTGTTGGTTATAGATGCAAGGACAATGGTCCAAAATCAGCAAGATCAGCAAAAGCAAAAAAGAAAAGAATGTTTTTCCCTTTGTAGTGTTGAGCATTTGAAAGGTATTAAGTCAATTATATCCAGTTTGACTAAGGGTGAACTATAATGACGCATTTCTCCTGAAAGACTCATCGAACTCTATTTAGACTTTTCACATTTTCTTCCAGGCCTTCATTTGTTCCTCTGTCACCCACACTCCAGTACCATTTGATGGTGTCGTTGTCTCTGTGAACACTGGAGTCAACTTTTCTCATTCCATCCACAGGTCGTAAGTTCGTCATAGCCAACGCAAGAGTGGAGAACTGCGCCATCATCTTCTGCAACGATGGCTTCTGCCACTTGTGCGGTTACTCACGTGCTGAGATCATGCAGAAGCCATGCACGTGTAACTTCCTGTACGGACCCGAGACCAAGCGACTGGCCATCGCCCAGATGGCACAAGCCCTGCTGGGGTCGGAGGAGAGGAAAGTGGAGATCAACCTTTACCGCAAAGATGGTAGGAAACAATTTGTTTGGTGAGAGTGAAGTGAGATGTGTGTGTGGATGTAGGAGAGGTCCGCTGACTGGTACAATGGCTGTACATGCTTCGGAAGAAAAGTATGTGTTGCTTTATCTAAAAGTTAGAGCTGACCATGGTGAGACATGTGGTGATGGATTATACCAATGAGGAGGTCAGTGTGAGTATACTTTGTGTTTGGAGAAGGGAGTTTTGGTTGAGTTCTCTAAAAAATATAAAGAAGTCGAGAGAGTATATGTTGCTGTGTTTTTGGAAGGAATGAGTATTTTGGAAAGTACTCGTGTGTGTATTTGGGTCTATGTGAAGGTGTTGTTGAATGGTTTTGTCACTATAAAATGTACTTGTTTCTCAGTTGGCCTTAGTAACTGTTTGTGTAGTGTGTGCAGAACATTTGGCACCTACCAGCTCATGTTTATGTGTGAGTGACCTGACTACTGTTTACTGATAAGTCCATGTTGTATTTTGTGTCTCTTGCAACTTTTTAGCGCCAAATTTCTTGTTGTGATGAGCATGGATGTGCAGAGAATGCAGTATGGTACATTTGGTCTGTTTCCAGATGTTATTAGCAGAAGAC